ATCATTTTATTTATATAATTTCATTTTTTTTGCATTAATTAAAGTTTTATTTACTATTATAATTATTATTTACAATTTCAAATATATCAATACCAATTAGATATAATACATTTATGTGAACTATTTTTATTTTATTATAGAATCAATATATATTTATTATTATATATCTAATAATATATAATAAATTTAAAAAAAAATATATATTTTTTTATTCTCAACAAGTTTTCATTAATCTTTATTAAAAATGTTTTCAATATTACTGATAAGAACAATAAATTAGCGATTCATTTATTTTATCGTAGATGTAATGAAAATGAAATTTACAATATGATTCTTTCATATATTTTTCATATATTTTAAGTATATATTTTTCCTCGACTTACATAACATATTAAAATCGGATGATATATCATGAAAATTTTTTATTGATATGGCATATCATATAATAAGATGCAAAAGTTCTTTCAAATTGAACAAAATATAGCAATACAACTTACTTGTATACAACAAAACAATAAAATTTGTATTTATAATAAAAAAATATATTTCTTTGTGCTCATAATTATATTTTATAATTATTGGAACTATTGATTAAAATTTCACACGAAAAAATTAAAAAAATTAGAATTAAAAAATTATAATTTTTTTGCTCAAAATTTTTTTTAAGCAAAATTACATTACATAAATAATTGATAAATCTTTTATCAAAGGATAGTTCTTTTTAAAATAATCTTTTTCTGAAAATTTTTTTTTCAATTTCTTATAATTTGCGAATTGTAATACAAAATCGAAAAATAGCCAAATTTTTATGAATCAATTTTTAGAGTGAATTTCAACAGCAAAAATTACTTAATATATAATAACTTATATATTTATATATGCACATATATATCTGTAAAGTTTCAAAATTTTTTGAATTTGCGGATTAAAAATCTTTTTTTATAAAAATCTTTTTCGTGGTATACAAAATATACGGAATATTAATATATTTTTGTAATGCCTTTGAAAAATTTAAAATAAACAAAAAAATTGATAAGAGGTTTATTTATTAATTATTTCTTGCTTTATCTAATGCAAAATTAAAATTAATAAATTATTAAACTTTATTTTTATTTTTAATTTAATAAATAAAATTCAATCTATTTTATATATTGAATAATTATATATTATATATTGTTTTAGTCTTTGAAATGTATTGTATAAATATACTAACATCCTACATATTATAACGAAATTTTAAAAATGATTTCTGTTTAAATCCATACAAAGTAAATTTTAGAAGATAAATTCACTTGTTATATATATTATGTGTTTGTGTAAATAATAATTATGATAGTCATATATATTATCATGGATATATAGATAGAATTCAATAATATAGCATCAAAATAATTCGAAAAATTGATTCCTAATTATATATGTAAAGAATGTACATATATTAGTAACAAAAAGTTAAACAAATTGTTCGCAAATTTTTTATCTTTATTTGATCTTTATGTAAAGATATTAAAAAAAAATTTATTACCTATTAATTAATGGATTATTATTTTTAATTCCAATTAATTTATCTTAAGATTAAGAATAAAAAAAAATATAAATAAATTATTAGAGTTTGTTTCTTAATTTTTGTAAGTATATATTTCAAGTTCACTATAAGATTGGTAAAAAAGAGAACTAATTGATAGATTTATTAAAAAAATTTTTCTTTGGATTTCAAGAGTTTCAAGACATCATATAATTTCGAATTTAAATTTAAGTGAATTTAAAAATCAGATTTTCAAAACTATTAAAAGTTTAGATGTTAATAAAAATTAAAAAAAAAAAAATAATAAAAATAAAATAGAAAAAAAAAAGAAAAATTCTGGATTTCAAAAGTTTTTTGAAACTTTAAAACAATTTCAAATTTAAGTTTTAAAAAATTATTAACAAAATTTGCTAGCTTTATATTCATAACAATATAACAAAATAAATACTCTTAAAAAAAAAAAGAGAAGGAAAAAAAAGAATTTTAATATTATATAAAATTGTTTTATTTTTTGAATTTAAGAATTAAAAATCAGGTTATTTTGTAAGAATTCAAGATTAAAACCGTGATTACTCAATCATTTTTCATGGCCAATATGAATCATATATTATTAATCTATCCATAACATTAAACTTGTTAAAAAATTGTATTATTTAACTTTGTTATTTTATAAAATTCTTTCTAAGATTAAAACTAATATGTAATTTTTTTATTTTTGTTGTTTAGGCCCATGAATTCTTGCTGTTTGCGGCATTGATGTTTGTTGATGTGATAATTTTTGCTGTGATGGCGAAATTGTATAAATATGTAAATACTCCGGAAAATGAAGAAATAACCGAAAATATTCAAATGAATGAAAAAGACGGAATAATTAATAAAGCCTTTAAAAACGATCAATAAACAATACAATTATTATGATTGCTCAGTTCATTACCTTACTTTTGTATAGATATATCCACACAGTTTTAAAACAATTAGAATACAAATTTAGTATTGTAAATATTAATTTGTTTTTTTAAATATACATCGATTGAAATTTAATAATTGAAAACAATGCAGAATTATATTAATGTATCACTATAAGCAATATTTTTTTTAATTGATTCTTTTGAAATTTTTAAATAGAAAAAAATTTAATATGCAAGTTTAAATTACTTTTTTCAAAATAGAAAAAACATTTATATAAAAGATATTTTTATACAAATTTTGCGAAAAATACAATTATTAAATTAATTCAAAAAATATAAGTGAAGATAGAAAAAAAAAAATAAAAAATTATAATTATATAAAAACATGATAAAAATTTATATAATTTATAAAATAATATTTTAATCTATCAGGTATTTTATAATCATGTTTTTATATTCTCTATAATATTTATTCATAGAATATAATCATAGAATATTAAATGCCTAAAATAATATAACAACGTTTTATGTATAAATATTCATATCATATTTTATGAATGTAACATAAGAAATTTGTAAATAGATATATCACTATGAATAAAAAATATATATATTTTTGTAAAAATTTAATCATTATTCGATAATAAATATCTGCTACTTTACTTTTCTTTATATTATTTTAAAATGATTGTTTTGACTTAATAATTTTATTATATATATCACATATATTATATATATATGTACAATTTTTATTTTTCAATCTTTTATTTTAATTTAAATCAATTTATATATTTATATTTTATTTTCACTTCATTTCAAAATTTGACATATAAATTAGAAAATGCAAATTCTTTATAAAATAAACAATTTATTTAGTAAAATAATAATACATCATTTATTTGTATTTTACACCATTTTTTTTAATTAATGGAAGAACAAAAATAATAATGATAACGATATATACCTATACAAAACATATCGCGAATATGAATTGCAACGTTCCCATTGCACCTATGCTACAGTTCACAACACATACAATCATGCTACAAATCACTATACAATAGTCTATTTGTACATAGATTGTCCTTTCATGTAGTATCCTTTTCTATAAAATTTGACAAATTTATATAATCGATGATACAGTGCTGTAAAGGCATTAAAAGACTAACAATAAATTCATGCTGTTGTATTTTAATTCTCGATCTACGATCGATTAATATTAAATAGACAAGACTTTAGAGATTACTGTTTCGTCTTGTTATATATTATGTAATATAATATTTTCCACAAATATTCGACAATGTAAATAGTAACTCTGTGTAAATTACATAGTCGACGCTAATTACATGTAGTGCTTAAATTTGTCAAAATAAATAATCATTTCTATATCTCAAGTTGGGTAATATAGGCTCTTTTATCTTAAAACTGTTCCAAGATTAATAGTTATAGATATCATAGAAAAATAAAATACATATTCTTGCATCAAGCCAATAAATTATATATATATCGCATATATAATTAGCTAATATTAAAGGAAGAGTATTTTTGTAACAAATATATAATATATATATACAGAATTTTCATTCAGATGATATAAATCACAGCAGTAATGCCAAAAATAATAGCATATGCAAAATGGAAGTTACTTTATCATTTTTGTGTATCAATTTTGCTTGTGTACGTGCATGCACGTTGATTTTTTAACGTAAAATTTTACTCGTATAAGTACATCAATATAATAGATTACATAAAATGAATTTTTTATTATAATTAGCAAATATGCATATAATAGCAGATTGCAAATCACAATGATGTAAGTAATATTAACAAACATTTTAAGAAATTTATATTTGTAATCAATATTTATTTATATATATATTCAATATTGTATATATGCGACATGATACTTATTATGAATTTCAAGTTAATTAATTATTGAATAATTACATAATAAAAATATTCGGTAAAATAAAACTCAAATTTTAGTATATTCTTTACAAAAACATTGCAAGAAGATATGCTTTTGTTGTTAATAATTAGAAAAGAGTATTTTTCTTGTTTCTAAAAAATTTAATCCTAACAAGATTAAGAAAAGAAACTTTCTTATTATTATTATTCTCTGATTATTCTTGTTTATTATTCTTGTTTTATGAAGTTATATCTATTATTTATATATTAAAATGATTTAAAATAATGTGAAATTATAGCAAGATTCTATTTTCTAATGATTGGATTTATATCATTATGATTCTCAATCCGCTTTATATCAAATTAATTTTATTATTTAAATTTTACAAATACTTTTTTTTTTAAGAAAATATTAAATTTAATATAGTATCTATATTATTATTTTATAACATAGATTCATAATATTCCAACATAAACTGTATAAAATATATAATTCAATATAAAATATATAATTCAATCTCAAACAAATTATTAATAATATATAATAATAGGTTCATAAATTTGAATTGAAATTTTAATTTAAAATATAAATTTATTTTTGATATTTATCAGCATTTCAAAATCATAAAGACTCTATTTTTCATTGTAAATATCAATGGTTATTAATATATAGTGAGAAAAAGTATTGAAAACATGCATAACAAATATTAATCTCTAGATTTAAAAATTAGAATCAGGTATATAAAGTGATATTAGATATTATAGTATATATAATATAATCTCCAATCTGTACTCTATTTTGCAAGTGTAACGGTGAGTAGAAAAATAATGTCAATCAATATAGCTAACCGTACTTGCTATGAAAGTACAAACTATAGTACATCATGGAGTTAAAAAATATGTGTTTTCAAACAAACACGATAGTTTGTAACGATGTAGAATATTCATCGTTTTATATGATATATCTCTTGCACGAAACGCAAAAATGGTCTTATATTCAGATCTTTAGTTAATTTTCTATTTTGACTTCCCGCGTCATATAAATATTAAAGTTGTTTACATTCGATATATAGATAAATGTTTCCGATATGGTACATTAACAGTGAGCTAAGCACCAGAAAAAATATTCAAATTAAATATATTTAATATTTATTCAAACTATATGTGGTCCTCTTCTTTGTTATTTTGTGCTGGTGTTGCTGGTGTTGGATCATCATGGAACAATGGATTCTTTACTTCCATTTCACCAGTCTTTGCAAAAAAATATATATATATATATATATATATATAT